AGAGAGAGAGAGAGAGAGAGAGAGACTTGTTCTGAATTATGTTTTGGCTTTCTATGAAAAACTATAATAAAATAGAGAATAATTTAAGTCATGTTTTGTCTCCAAAACGAGACAAAAAAGTTTTGAAAAACTTATACAACGAATAGAACTGAATATAAAAAGAGTTTAATTGACGGATCAATAGTGTTGTGATTGAGAAACAGGTGTTGTCTATACGGACGCCGGCTATAAAAGTGAATGATTGGGAACTAATAGTAGTGATGCCATGACTCGTGAGACAGACAAACACCACAACAACCTCTTCAATGAATCATTAAATATATCGACTGTATATCGACTATACCTTAAGATACTTATCAAATATACATTGAAAAAATTGGTTCACAATAAAAAAATAAACTTTTTATCGAAAACAAAAACTCACAAAAAGTTTTCCATTTTATTTAAAAACCTATTTTTGTATTTGTATGCAAAAAGCATTTTTACATTGATAAATTTTGTGCATTGATTGAAAGTATAATTTATATAATTTACTTTTTGATTACTGATTATTAAACCATTTTCTTGTTGTTGTTTTTAAGCATATATTCATGAAAAACAAGAGATGAATAACTTTATTATTAGACAGTATTAGAGGCCAGTTATTCACCCGAACTATACATACAATTATATAATGCAATGAATTAATGATACGAATGAATACATAATGTAATAAATCTTTTGCAATGCTATCCTTTGCTAAACCCAATGAACAATGACTTAAATATAGCAATCGTTTGGTTTAATTGTTACTATTAAAGCAATAACTTTTATAAGCTTTATATTTAAAAGTTTATATTTATTTTACTATGTTTTTTGAATATAAATTATTATGAATTTATTATACAATCTCTACAATGTGTGCACATTTGGCGGCAAAAAGTATAATCAAAATAATAGTTATTGTATTTGTATTCTAGCAATAAATATAAAAAATAAAATCACCAAAAGGTATACAAAAAAGATAATAATAATAACATAATAATACAAATAACACAATCGTTGTGTACAAGACATGGAAATCATGGTTCTGTATGAGGAGTAGTATCGGTGGACTGATTGACCACTTTGTCGAGTAGATCGCAATGTATGAGACGATGGAGTTCCTGATCATCGATGGCCTGCATTTGGGGAAACAGTCGGCGCTCGACGTACTGAACGAGTGTTGAGTTGCTATTCATCGTAAGCCCTCCGCCGCCGCCCGAGTCATGCATTTGGTCTTCAATGTCACGCGTCTGACAATCGGTTGAGTGAAGCAATTGTTCAACGATTGCATCCTTTTTCACAGACAATGCGCTCATCATTTCTTTGCTCGACATCTCTGTTGGTTTGCCCTTCAGTTTTGCCAACTTTTTCTCTGTATTCAACAAAAACAGAATTCTCTTCTTTAATAATACACTTTAATAATAAACAAAAGCATTGTTTGATTGAAAGTATATTTTTTAAAAATATTTTGTTCACAAAAAGGTGTTCAAAAGGACATAAAAAGTTTGAAAATCAAAATTTTTGCCCAAAAACCATATCAATCATTGAAATGAGAAAAATTAACGCTTAATTGCTATTAAGAAAAAATGCTCAAATCTAATGACCCATAACTTTGACTTGAAATACAATTATAAACGCCTCTAAAGTAAACGCTAAGAATATAAGTCGTAAAAATAAACACAATTAAACAATTAGTCGTCTTTTAAAAATAAATATTTAAACATATAATTTAATTAACTGTTTGTGAATTAAAACTAATAATAAGAATAACCTCTTATATACACTGAATATATAAACACAATAAAAATCAATACAATAGTCGTAATGGATTTAACCAAATAATATAATACTACTGACAAATACAATAAGTGTTTTCAAAATTAATTTCATGAATGCTTTGTGGATATGAATTGAATAAAACAAATTTCCCGCTAATTATACTTATTTTATAATTTAAAATCACAGTTATATAAATTTATATATAAAATGTTATACGGAATTGAAATCAATTCATGAATTGATATTAATGTCGACAAAAGCAGACAATAAAAAACTTTTGTAAAATATAATATACAGTATTATCACAAATATAACAATTATATTGAGATTTTTGAGGACAGGAGTTATCAATGCATTTCGCTATGAATTGAAATTAAACTCAAATTAAATGCAATCATTTAAAGAATACAAACCATAATAATATATAAATACATATTCAGTGATATATAGAGGAGAGAATATATGACAGGAGTTATCAATGCATTTCGCTATGAATTGAAATTAAACTCAAATTAAATGCAATCATTTAAAGAATACAAACCATAATAATATATAAATACATATTCAGTGATATATAGAGGAGAGAATATAGTGCAGATTGTATAGGTATAGAATAAAAACACCCATGATCATTGATTATATCACCCCATTTAAATTCAAAACGGGATCAACTTTCGGTCAAACTGTTTTAACTCCCAAAGTAATATTGTGTATACATAAACTATCTATGTATTTATTTTAAAAATTATCTACGGTAGATTTTCCAAATGCTATATTATAAAATTTAATCCTGAACTCTAAAGTAAATATTGTGACCAATTGTTGTGACCGTTATTTCCCATAAACATAAAAATACAAGAGTTCAATAAAATACACAGTAATTCAGCAAATGATATATGGTTTACATTTTTAAAAATTTATTTCAAAATAAAATTCACTTTAAATAACAATTATTTACATACAGTATAAAACCAAAATAGCTTTGAATTTATTGAGAATATAAAAATTTATATAAAGTTTGCAAAATTTGCGTTTAAATATAGTCTACAATTAGATCTCATACATGAATATAAAAGTTATAATAATAATAAATAACAAAAATACAAAACTCATTCAAAATGATCGGTTTATATACAGTATATTTATATCATATATATATATTGATACAGTGCAACCTCGCTATAGAAAACGGGCAGTTGTAAAGCCAGTGTTTCCTAAGTGGGATGTTTCTATAAGAGGAATAGGTGCTAACTGTGGTATTGTAATTTTAGTATAAAGAATAATACATATTAAATAGAATAACTTGTTATTGTAGATTGTTTTCAGCAGTAAAATTATAATTAAATGCTTAAAACATTGTTTTATTCAGTTTTGGAGTTATACACAGAGAAAATCTTAAAAATATAATTCCCACAAGTAACGTATAGATTATATACATATTGATTGTGTAAGTAACCCTCGGTCTGTACTGTGGTCAATTTGGCCAATAAATGTTAGAAATTTGGGCCATCAAGAAAATGGCAAGATTTTTATAAATAATATTCTACCTACTATAAATAACAACATGTTTGAATAACAATTGATTTAACAAATACACTCAAACACTCTACAATGTTCCGTAGGGGAAACGCCAATAACTTTTGACTGACTAATTCAATTTTAATTATTCCAATTAGAAAAATGTTGCCTGGTAATTCAGTAATCGAACCATATGTAATATGTTATTGTATCTATAATGCTTAATTTTCTAGGTGAATTATATAAAAAAAATTTCCATTGAAAATGAATGACTTTTTTGTACAATTATTGACTGTTTCTAACTATACTTTTTTCAATTATCTAGAACCTAGATTTAATGTTTAAAATTTAACTAATTGAAGTTTTAGTCATACATTTAAATTTGGGCCATCAAGAAAATGGCAAGATTTTTATAAATAATATTCTACCTACTATAAATAACAACAGGTTTGAATAACAATTGATTTAACAAATACACTCAAACAATCTACAATGTTCCGTAGGGGAAACGCCAATAACTTTTGACTGACAATTCAAATGTTGCCTGGTAATTCAGTAATCGAACCATATGTAATATGTTATCGTATCTATAATGCTTAATTTTCTAGGTAAATTATAAAAAAAAATAATTTCCATTGAAAATGAATGACTTTTTTGTACAATTATTGACTGTTTCTAACTATACTTTTTTCAATTATCTAGAACCTAGATTTAATGTTTAAAATTTAACTAATTGAAGTTTTAGTCATACATTTGATAGATACTTTGGCTATTTCACAATTCATTTTAAACTACCTGTATTTTGTGGAACAGGGAATTTCTATAACTCAATAACTACTGGGTCAATTTTAAAATTCTATATGTCAAAATGTTTAAAATTCTATATGTCAAATGAGTGGACACGTATTTCAGGATGTTTCTAAAAAAATATCTCGATTAAAGAACAGGTGTTTAAAGTGCATAAAATTCTACATTTCAGTTGCTTGCCAATTAAAATTTATCTGGTCATTTTTAACGTTCTCTAGCTTAAATTGACAAGAATTATTAATAGAAATAAGCAATTTTTTAGATTCTCAATATTTTATAGTTTTGATGAATTTTTCATTAAAACAAAATTTGTATAATTTTTAATGCTGCTTATAATGAAATGTCATTGACATTAGCCTTTATTTGTACACATTTTCAATGGTTTTTAATGCAAATTATTGCGTTTCTTATAATTCACCTAGAAACCTAACTATGATAGCTACATAGGCATGTTATACAGTGCAACTTCTCTTGGGTGAACTTCTCTTGTTTTGTACACATTTTCAATGGTTTTCAATGCAAATTATTGCGTTTCTTATAATTCACCTAGAAACCTAACTATGATAGCTACATAGGCATGTTATACAGTGCAACTTCTCTTGGGTGAACTTCTCTTGAATGAACATTTCCTTTGAATGAACGGTTTTAAAATATATTTTGGATTTTCTATATCTATAACAGAACCTCCCTTAAATAAACCCTCCCTATAATAAACACTTTTGTCGATTACTGAATTACCAGGCAACATTTTTCTAATTGGAATCATTAAAGTCAAATTACTCAGTCAAAAGTTATTGGCGTTTCTCCTACGCAACATTATAGATTGTTTGAGTGTATTTGTTAAATTAATTGTTATTCAAACCTGTTGTTATTTATAGTAGGTAGAATATTATATATAAAAATTTTGCCATTTTTTCGATGGCCTAAATTTCTAACATTTATCGGCCAAATTGACCACAGTACAGACCGAGGGTTACTTACACAATCAATATGTATATAATGTATACGTTTTATGTGGGAATTATATTTTTAAGATTTTCTCTGATTAGAAACAACACCAAAAAAAATTAAGCAATAATTTTAGGGAGTGTTCAGAGAAAGTACTAAATTCTTAGCCATTGAAACGCGTGTATAATTTGATTGGTATTTTCCGCTTCACTACACGATATCTTTCGGGATATAAGTCTCTCATCAAAGAAATCATAAAAACATAAGACATTCCACGCATTCCTTTGTTTTCTGTTGGGAAACGGATCCCAAACACAGACTCTGTTTCTCTCCCTTTCACTCAAAACTCTTCAAAAGTTATATTTAGTGTATAAAAGATTAAACAAAACGAAGAAAACTATTTTTCTCTAAATTATAATTTTCGAGAGGAATGCTATGAAAAATCCTGTTTAACAATGATTTATGGATTTTATATAAACCATACATTTTTAAATAACATTTCGCATCACATATACGCCTATTATTTACATAAATGCAATTCATTTGCAGGAATTCAAGCAAAATATATATTGTATTCATAATCTAATCATTTGGTGATTTTGCGATAAGAATTGGCCTAAAATGCTATCATATTTGACGTGATCTTGAATTTTATATCACTGTTTGAACTATTTTTTTACCAAATAATATATCGGCTAAGAAACGGATACAATGTTTTTGCATAAATATTTCAATAAAAAAATCAATTTAATTATTAGTTATTAATAAATACTATCAAATATAATGCAAATATTGTGTGGGAAATGGGAGGACACATACATGTATGGAATACAGGGCGGCTCCGTATCGGCTAAGGCTTGTCGGTATGCCCTGAAAGAGGACGACGAGTCGATGAGAGCGCTGTACTCTTTCAGACTTTCGGTGATATTCCTCTGCCATTCGAGCCGTCGGATGGGCGCCGAGTCGAGGGCCGACAAAATGGCCAAATATGAGTTGAAATTCGATAGTTTTCGCAAATGTTTCATTATTTTGATAAATTTCAACACAAGTCGTTCCCTTTCACGCGAGTCCTTCTCGTCCAGAATCCGAGATCTCGTCCAATAAGACATGTTATTAAAGTGTTCGGTAAATGTGTTCAGATTCGGGATTAACTCTTCCCTCTGCTCTTTAGCCCAAACCAACACTTCGGGAATCTATTCATTATAAATACAATTGGTTAGCAAAAGACAAATGCAAACATAATATTTCGATAATAGAGATAGAATTTGAATAACAATTAGTTTACTCTTCAGATAACAAATACAATTCAACACAAGAATGGAAATAAAATCAGTGAATTCATGGACTAATCTTTGCTCCAAATCTTTCTTTATTGAAACAAAAGCGAAGAAACAAAATGCACTTTATATGCAAATTACAAATTGCTTTTACCATTTCATATCAATTGTTAAACAAATTTCAAGTTTAAGGAGAGAATGGTATTGAAAGTTATCACATATTTCTCTGGTCTTTAGTCTGTAATTATTACCTTTAAAGATAATATCAAAAGTGTTAATATAATAAAGCATTAAATGAGACAAAAAAGTTATAACATAACTGCAAAACTGAATAAATTATCATATATTAAATATATTGAATAAAATAATCGTAAACTAAAATAGTTATTATCAAATAAATGTCAAAAGGATCTAAATTTATTTCTATATTTAAATATTTCCAGAATCCGAGATCTCGTCCAATAAGACATGTTATTAAAGTGTTCGGTAAATGTGTTCAGATTCGGGATTAACTCTTCCCTCTGCTCTTTAGCCCAAACCAACACTTCGGGAATCTATTCATTATGAATACAATTGGTTAGCAAAAGACAAATGCAAACATAATATTTCGATAAATAGAAACAGAATTTGAATAACAATTAGTTTACTCTTCAGATAACAAATACAATTCAACGCAAGAGTGGAAATAAAATCAGTGAATTCATGGACTAATCTTTGCTCCAAATCTTTCTTTATTGAAACAAAAGTGAAGAAACAAAATGCACTTTATATGCAAATTACAAATTGCTTTTACCATTTCATATCAATTGTTAAACAAATTTCAAGTTTAAGGAGAGAATGGTATTGAAAGTTATCACATATTTCTATGGTCTTTAGTCTGTAATTATTACCTTTAAAGATAATATCAAAAGTGTTAATATAATAAAGCATTAAATGAGACAAAAAAGTCATAACATAACTGCAAAACTGAATAAATTATCATATATTAAATATATTGAATAAAATAATCGTAAACTAAAATAGTTATTATCAAATAAATGTCAAAAGGATTTAAATTTATTTCTATATTTAAATATTATAACATAACTGCAAAACTGAATAAATTATCATATATTAAATATATTGAATAAAATAATCGTAAACTAAAATAGTTATTATCAAATAAATGTCAAAAGGATCTAAATTTATTTCTATATTTAAATATTTATTTTAATAATTCATTTGGGAATAAATCGATATAATTTTACATCAAAATTAATGCCATTTAAGTAATGTCTCGCATCTCTACAAACCAACAAAAAAGCAAACATTGATTGAAAAGTCGTGTTTAAAGTTGTTATGCAGTGTTGTGTCAGTTATTTATAACATAACACATAATCTGAGAATCGTATCAAAAAGTTCGCAAAATTCTGAACTATAAACCATTTGGAAATAAAATACTCAATCATTGATATAAAAATACATTGCAATTAATTTGATATATAAGTCTCAAAAGGCAAAGCAATAACAAAAATAAAAAAGTTTGCTTTGAATGAAATAAATGAATGAATGTCTGTATAAAAATGCTTTTGAATTCACGAAATAAGAGAAAAACAAATAACAAATATATAAATTTATATAAGGATTAAAATAAACTAAACTTTTGGGAAAAGAGAGCTTTTGTACAAAAGCCAGAAAATAAATGACACAAAAGGATAAAAAGACATCAAATGAAAGGCAGAGAGAAAAAAGAAATAAGAGGTAAAAACAAGAGAAATAAAGAAACATCAAAACTCACCTCAATCTTGAGAAATAGGTCTGAGTCTAGAAGTGTCATCTGTTCGGCCAAATGCTCGGACTTGAAGTCACACAACGAGTACTGACGGCTCGTGATGTTAATGGAGGGCAACAGCACTTTGGATGCGTTGAGAGCGTTGTGTCTTTGGTCCATCTTTTCGATGCATTTGGCGCGAAGCACTTTAGCCAACGCCAAATCACCCCGATTTACCAATTGGTAGATGAAATCCATTAACATTTCCAACACTTTGTCTTTACAATCACCGATACTATTAAGAAACAGAGCCAACAAAACACATGTAGAGTTTGTGTTAAGAGACAGAGAGAAAGAGCGAGGTTTGGGAGAGCAATGAGTTTTGCGATGAGAATAAAAACACTATTTACTGACAAACAATCGGAATATACAAAACAAATAAAACATTTTCAAAACAAATGAATAAACAATAAAAAGAGAGGACTAAACGGGCAACTGATCGCTGGGAGAGACTCTTTCACACAAAAAAACAGGAGTTCATAACACGGGATATATTATTATTATTAGAGAGAAAACAAGTTTTTGTGGTCTTCCGAAAGATGAGAACAACATAATTATTTAAAGACAAATGTTGTAAATGTTGTATCGATTAATAGAGGAAATGAGAAATGGATGGCAAAGACAGAGACACAGAGAAGAAGAAGAAGAAAAAGAGAAATAAATGATTTCAATTCATACCACATATCATCGACGACTCGGACGAGTAGTGCGAATGCATTTCTGGCCGCTCTTTGCCTCATATCAGACAAGAGTATAAACTTGTTGTATCGGTAAAGAAGTTTATCGATCAGTTCCATAGGCGTGAGTAGAGTCCGGTATGTCGTCAAAAACGCCTCTTGAAACATGAAATCTGGAACAACACATACCAGTCATCCAAACATCCATACAGTGAGAGGAGGAGAGAGATTGAGAGACAAACAATTCATTAGACATTTTTTTGGCCGATCAATGAATTTCAATACAATGAATAGATTACAAGAGATTATAAATGTTTAGAAAATAGGAAATTATGACTTTTGTGTTATTGTATTAACAATTGTAAGAATACAATGCAATAATCTGTTTATCAAATACTGTATTAAAAAAGCATTTCATTATATAATTGTAATCAAAATAACATATTTAATACGCTCTAAACTTTTGACCTCTTTTTTGCCTAAATATCAGATAACTATTGGAAATATTTATTTTGGCA